ATAGTCTAACTTCCTTTTACATAGTCTAACTTCCTTTTAGATAGTTTTACTTCCTTTTACAGGGGAATCACGCTCTTAAGCCTCCCTGGTAAGGCCTATTCGGGGGTTCTGGAGAGGAGGCTCCGTCGGATAGTCGAACCTCGGATTCAGGATGAGCAGTGCGGTTTTCGTCCTGGTCGTGGAACACTGGACCAGCTCTACATTCTCAGCAGGGTCCTGGAGGGTGCGTGGGAGTTTGCCCAACCGGTCTACATGTGCTTTGTAGACTTGGAGAAGGCGTTCGACCGCATCCCTCGGGGAACCCTGTGGGGGTACTCTGGGAGTATGGGGTACCAGGCCCATTAATATGGGCTGTTAGGTCCCTGTACAACCGGTGTCAGAACTTGGTCCGCATCGCCGGCAGTAAGTCGGGCTTGTTCCCGGTGAGAGTTGGACTCCGCCAAGGTTGCCCTTTGTCACAGATTCTGTTCATAACTTTTATGGACAGAATTTTTAGGCGCAGCCAAGGTGTTGAGGGGATCTGTTTTGGTGGCCTTAGGATTGCATTTCTGCTTTTTGCAGATGATGTGGTCCTATTGGCTTCATCAGATCGTGATCTACAGCTTTCGCTGGAGCGGTTCGCAGCCGAATGCGACGCGTCCGGGATGAAGATCAGTTCCTCCAAATCCGAGGCCATGGTCTTGAGCCGGAAAACGGTAGAGTGCCCTCTCCGGGTCAGGGAGGAGGTCCTACCCCAAGTGGAGGAGTTCAAGTATCTTGGGGTCTTGTTCACGAATGAGGGAAAAATGGAGCGTGAGATCGATAGGCGGATAGGTGCAGCGTCTGCAGTGATGCGGGCGCTGTACAGGTCTGTCGTGGTGAAGAGAGAGCTGAGTCAAAAGGCGAAGCTCTCAATTTACCGATCGATCTACGTTCCCACCCTCATCTATGGTCATGAGCTTTGGGTTGTGACCGAAAGAATGAGATCTCGGATACAAGCGGCCGAAATGAGTTTTCTCCGCTGGGTGTCTGGGCTCTCCCTTAGAGATAGGGTGAGAAGCTTGATCATCCGGGAGGGACTCGGAGTAGAGCCGCTGTTTCTCCACGTCGAGAGGAGCCAGTTGAGGTGGCTCGGGCATCTGGTTAGGATGCCTCCTGGATGCCTCCCTGGTGAGGTGTTCCGGACACGTCCCACTGGAAGGAGGCCCAGAGGAAGACCTAGGACACGCTGGAGAGACTATATTTCTCGGCTGGCCTGGGAACACCTTGGGATTCCCCGGGAAGAGCTGGCCCAAGTGGCTGTGGAGAGGAAAGTCTGGGCCTCCCTACTTAGGCTGCTACCCCCGCGACCCGACCCCGGATAAGCGGAAGAAAATGAATGGATGGATGAACTTCCTTTTACATAGTCAAACTTCCTTTTACATAGTCTAACATCCTTTTACACAGTCTAACATCTTTTTACATAGTCTAACATCTTTTTACATAGTCTAACTTCCTTTTACATAGTATAACTTCCTTTTACATAGTCTAACATCCTTTTACAGTCTAACTTCCTTTTACATAAGCTAACTTCCTTTTACATAAGCTAACTTCCTTTTACATAGTCTAACTTCCTTTTACATAGTCTAACATCCTTCTACATAGTCTAACTTTATTTTACATAGTCTAACTTCCTTTTACATAGTCTAACTTCCTTTTACGTAGTCTAACATCTTTTTACATAGTCTAACATCCTTTTACATAGTCTAACATCCTTTAAGATATTCTAACTTCCTTGTACATAGTTTAACTTCCTGTTAGATAGTCTAAATTCATTTTTGTCTGATTTTATTTTATTTTTTACCAGTTTTTCCATGCAGGAGAGCTGGTGCCTATATCCAGCAAAATTGTTAGCAAAATATTTCATGAACCACTGGTTAGATTTTACTCAAATGCTCATAAAACAATCACTGAATGTCCTATGGTATACAACTGAGGTGTCTTGTGGACTCTTGTGAACAACTTGTGGAGTCAAATTGATTCGAGATACCCACCACGGTTAGTCAAACTTTGCAAACACAAAAATGTCAACAACTCAGCGAGTTGTACGGATATGGATCAAAATGTTTGATCTGCTGGTAGCTGAGTCACCAACACAGTCCGAGTGCTACCAGGAAAACTTAAAAACTCTGACATGCAAGGTAGCAGACACCAGTAATCAGATCCTCTGGACAGTTTCTTTTCTGTAGAAAGACGTTTCGCCCTATATCTGGAGGGCTTCATCAGTTTGAGGAGTCTCAAGTGAACTGTTTTCCCCACTAAGAAGTACACTCCTTATGTGGACCAACCAGTTTGCTGGTGATAAGATAGGTTCTGGGGAATGTCCTGTCCTGAAAACAGTTTATTTGGGACTCCTCAAACATATGAAGCCCTCCGGATAGAGGGTGAAACGTCTTTCTACAAAAAATAAACTGTGCAGATGACCTGATTGACCATTACTGGATTTTTTACCTGGATGACTGAGCATGAACTTTGAAGGTATCAAACAATTCACAATTTTACATCAAATTATTACTTTGAGACATTTTCATGTAAATCCACTGGTCCTGTAGATATTTTGCTAACAAACAGTGTTGACTCCGATGGTTAATGTCAAAATTTTGAATAAACATTGTGCATGAACAGTTGGAGCTCCAAGTAAATGTTGAGGATGACACTCAGTTACTACTCCACCAAATTCTATCCATCCATCCATCCATCCATCCATCCATCCATCCATTATCTTTATAATAATTCCATTTCAGGTCACGGGGGTCGCTGGTGCCCATGTCCAGCAATCACTGTGCGAGAGGCGGGGGACACCATGGACAGGTCTCCAGTCCATCACAGGGACAAATAGAGACAAATGAGACAAACAAACATTCACTCTCTCACTCACACCTAGGGACAATTTAGAGTTACCATTCAGTCTAACATGCATGTTTTTGGTCTGTGGGAGGAAACCGGAGCACCCGGAGAAAACCCACGCATGCACGGAGAGAACATGCAAACTCCACCCAGAAAGGCCCCCGGCTCTGATTCAAATTTGTTAATAATAATAATAATAATAATAATAATAATAATAATAATAATAATAATAATAATAATAATAATAATAATAATAATAATAATAGCAGCACAGTGGCGCAACTGGTAGAGCTGCTGCCTCTCAGCGAGCAGGTCCTTGGTTCAAACCCCGGTCCAGGGGCCTTTCTGGATGGAGTTTGCATGTTCTCTCCGTGCATGCGTGGATTTTCTCTGGGTGCTCCGGTTTCCTCCCACAGATCAAAAACATGCATGTTAGACTGATTGGTAACTCTGAATTGTCCCTAGGTGTGAATGAGAGAGTGAATGGTTGTTTGTCTCGTTTGTCTCTATGTGTCCCTGTGATGGACTTGCAACCTGTCCAGGTTGTACCCCGCCCCTTGCACAGTGATTGCTGGACATGGGCACCGGCGACCCCCATGACCCAAAATGGAAGAAGTGGGTAAAGATAATGGATGGATGGATAATAATAATAATAATAATTATTATTATTATAATAATTATGATAATGATGATGATTATGGCTGATGACAAAAAGAGCAAGTGGGCTCATTCAGCCATAATGATAACTAGGGATTAACTTTCTTTTTTCAATTATAGCACAGTATCCAACAATTTTCAGTCAGGTCATCTGGACAGTTTCTTTTTTTTTTTCTGAAACATCCAGATGACCTGACTGAAAATTGTTGGATTGTATACATGGATTATAAAGCATGGACAGTTTTGGTTTTGAACCAGTTTGACATGACTGTTGACGAGGAAGAGGGCCAGCTCCAGAGGAGGGGGCGTGCCAAAGACACCATCTTAGCACCAACATAACTGGTTTGTTCCACTTTGGAGTAAGCTGGCTGGGGGAAGAATGAGTTTTGTGTTGTGTTTCCTTGACTGATGAAGCCTTCTGGATGGAAGGTGAAACGTTTCAGAAAAAAAAAAAAGAAACTGTCCAGATGACCTGACTGAAAATTGTTGGATTGTATACCTGGATTATTGAGCATGGACTGTTCTGGTATAGCACAGTATACTCGTCTTCAGCATTAAGCTGATGGAATTCTGCTCCAGTTGTGTCACCACTTTTAAGATGATATGATCTTTATGTTTGAAAGAAAAAAGTAAATATTTCAAACAATCCGAAAGGCTGTAAAGCAGTGATTTTCATTTCCTTAGTAGTTGAGCAAACCTCTGTGAACCATATCACACAGTACAAAAAAGACAGTTTTGTCAGGCAATTAAATATACTTGTACAAGAATAAATATTTTAAATGTTTTAACTAGAATTGGATGTGATCTTTCAAAATGTCTTCCCACCGCCAAGCCTGAACAGAAACTATTCTTTCAGTTTTTTTCATTCATCAGTCAGCTCATAAAAAACTTTGACACGAAGCAGAGACTGCTTGTGCACGTGGAATTTAATGTGTTTAGTGGACTTATCACTGAAATAACAGCTTTACAAGCATGCAAGAATTGACGTCTTAAACATCAATTAATGTTTTCTTCACATTGTCAGTGTCATTTAGGAGATGTGGTTGAAAACTGTGACTCGGTTTGCACTAAAATCCACCTGAAGTGGTGTTTTTTAAATGAATAATTCAACTTGATGTCTAAATTAAAATGTTTTAGGGTTTTCAAAACGACAGAGTTACAAAATAATGAGGCAGACAAAAACACTTTAAGGTAAGTGCAGGTAAATATGCCACTACACTGACACGAGCTGTCCGATATTTAATACATTAAGAGCTCTACAAAGTGTTTTTCACACTCCCACACGTCAAAATAAGCCCAAAGTTTTAGAGAGGAGTGACCTGGTGCCACATTTCTGTATCATTCAGCAGATACGTTGAAACATTTCTCTCGTTTTCTTTAGCCATCCATTTTTCTTTCTCGTGCGTGTGCACGCTCGTTTTTCAGCTGCCCTCCATCTCTGCACTCACTGAGGCAAATGGCTGCTCAAAAGATAATGGAATGTCTTCTGGCCCGACCCAGCCTCTCCATCTTCTGCGGCTCTGACACCGCATCGGGGAATTAAAAGAAATAAAAGGCAAAGTGGAGAGAGGAGACATGAGCGAGGTGAATGAAGAGATAGAGGGACGGAATGGGAGGCGGCGGGGAGGCCGAGCACCCCTGTGAGTGTGCGGGTGTGCATTAGTGAACATGGTCAGTACATGGAGCTCAAGGGTCTCAGAACAGATAGAAGAATCAGGAAAAAGAGGCTGAGTGAACTGCAACTTAAAGTGTAATCAGTTTCCTGACTGCAGCAGACGACCCAACATGAACACTGGGATCTCACTCAGTTGGACAGAGGTTTGTAATAAGGATGTTCTTCTGAACAACTTAAGCGAGCCTTCTTCCACATGAACAATGATCTTAGAACTAAGGTAGATGATGATGTGTGTGTTGCCCCACATCACTTGGACTGTGACAAAGTTCCAACGTTTGGAAGATGAAGATAACTTGCATTCATAAACCAGATAAACTGCCTTCTGAAAGTTGAGAATGACTCTGCTGAAATTTGTTGAAAAGTAAATTGCTGACTGGATCGTTAAAGTGAAAACAAGAAGCTAATCAACAAAATTGTTGCTAAAAGTTAAACATAACTGAATGCAAAAATTTGCTAAGCGTTAGCTCAAATCTAAAAAAAAACAAAAAAAAACATAGCTTATAACAGAATAATGCAAAATTGTAGCTAAAAACCTACATGAGCAAAATCATATCTAAGAGCCAACATTAGAAAGAACTATCAAAGTTCATGCTCAAGAATCCAGGTAGAAAAATCCAACAAAGTTAAGTCAGGTCCTCTGGACGATTTCTTTTTGTTGAAATGTTTCGTCTTTCATCCAAAGGACTTCATCAGTCCAAGGAGCTGCAACAAACTCAGTTTTATAAATAGCACCTTACATAGTGGGTCAACCAGTTTGATGGTGGTAAGATAGTATCTGGAGTCTGCCCTCTCCCCCACTGACTCTTTTGAAGCAGTCATCGTCAAAGTGGTTCAAAACATCAAAGTTCACGTTCAATAATCGATCCAGAGAACCTGACTTAACTTTGTTGGATTTATCTACCTTAATTATCGAGAAAGAACTTTGATAGTCTGAACTACTTTGGCCATGACTGACTCAAAAGAGTCGGTGGGGGAGAGGGCGGACTCCAGAATCCAATTTAACACCATCAAACTGGTTGATCCACCATGTAAGGTGCTTTTTATAAAACTGAGTTTGTTGTGGCTCCTCGAACTGATGAAGTCTTTTGGATGAAATACAAAACTTTTCAACAAAAAGAAACTGTCTAGAGGACCTGACTTAACCTTGCTGGATTAGCAAGAGATGCACAAAGTGATGCACTATGTGCAAACCTGTAGCAAGTGTAGCACAATGCATGCTAACAGAAAGAGGCCATGAAGGGAGGGCAATAAAAAGCTTGTTAGAGATATCTGAAATAAGAAAACAAGAACCACATAAAGACATACACTCATATTAGCGATGGCCTTTCCAAATTTTACACAATCATTATTTTTTTGTTTTAAAAACTTGACAAACTCACAAACTGCTCCTTTTGGTCCCCGTTGAGGCCGACAAAGGAAACCCTGTAGCGCGCCACATTAGGGTCGTCAAGCTCCCATGATGCATCCAAGCTGTGGGTGGTCTCATCACTCAGGTAAAGGTTTTTCACAGCCTTATGCTCCACTGGAAGAAAACAGGAAGCAGTTGCTGCTCAACACTGCACATTACTGCATTACTTCACATTGTGGAACGGTGACTCTGATGAAGTGGCCACCTGTCCAGGGTGTACTCCACCACTCGCCAATGGTTGCTGGAGAGAGCCTTTACCAGCTGCAGGTACCAGTATTTGCCAAGATCTGTGTGTTTTTGTGTTTGTTCTTCTTGTGGATCTTGTTTTTAGTTTTCTCTGTGAATCTGTTTCTCTTGTGTCTTCACTGTCCCCAGTGTTTTATTTCCTTTGTTTTGACTTTTGTTGTGTTTGAGTTAATTTCTTGTGTTTAATTTGTGTCTCCAGCGTCACCTGTTCCCAATCACAATCACCCCAAGTGTTCATCACTCTGTCTCGTTAGTGTCTCTTAAGTTCAGCGTCATTGTTTCCTCTCCGTTCGTGCACTGTGCTCGTGTTCCGGTTTCCTTGTGTCTTCTTGAATGTATCTTCCTGTGAGTATTTTTGCTGCCACGTCAGCTTTTATTTTGTTTATTTAAATAAATATGTTATTTATTCTTTTTTTTTTTTTCAGGTTTACCTCTGAGTACCCCGAGTCTGTCTGCATTTGGTTTCTAATCCTACATGAAACATTATAATATTTCAGCTAAAATTATAGAATGTCATTAAATAAACAACATAAATTGATGACCTAGCATTCTCTGAATCACCTTTCATCCCCACGTCTTAAGCCCTATTCACACAGGATTAGATTTACCTAGGGACCACATGGTATTTGAAATAATTACGGAAAATGTCTGTGTTGTTAATCCCGTGCGAATCGGCCATGTCAGTAATTTTTAAAGTAAAAATTCCCCTGCAAATTACCTGCTATATTTTGCTGAACTCCAAAATTATGTGATAATTATTATTATTTTTTTTTCATTTAGCCTTTATTTATACAGGTTAGTCTCATTGAGCCACGAGAACTCATTTTCAAGAGAGACCTGTTTAGGGAGCACATGGTGGGGGTTAAGGGCCTTGCTCATGGGCCCAGAGTGGGGCGAATGAGGGTGGGGGCAAGTGTGGGTGTTTCACCTACCCCCACCCACAATTTTGATGTTGTCGGGGCCGGGGCGTGAACCGGCGATCTTCGGATCACAAGCCCACCTCTCTAACCTCTGCGCCACCACTCCACCAGGTTGGTGTTGTTGTTGGTTCCATAATACTAAACAAATGCGAATAGGCATCTCTGATTTGGACAGAAATGGGCGGGATCTGATACGTAATTAGGCGTTTTTTGTTTTTGTTTAAGCAAAATCATTTAGAAAAATATAGAACAAGGCTATTTTAATTGAACGTTCGGCTTTCGTAGATGCTGCTACTTCCTTCACTGCAGATGACAGCAGGTGCAGAGATGCATGCAGCTGGTGATCCATCCATCCATCCATCCATCCATTATATTTACCCGCTTCTTCCTTATCGGGTAGTGAGAGTTGCTGGTGCCCATGTCCAGCCATCACTGTGCTAGAGGCGAGGGATGCCCTGGACAAGTTACAAATCCATTTCAACCGGCGAGTCAGTGGACACGCGGAACCGGTGACAGGTTGTCCATTTGAGCTTAACGCAACTTTTTTTTTAACCTCTTTAAACCAGCTGGTTGGACCTGCCTCCTCCTCAACAAGTAGATTAACACAATTTTATATTGTGCATTCTTATTTATTTTTATTTGTGCTGTATTATTCATAAAACCACATCAAAGCCCAAGACCGGCCCGGCCAGCACATTAAGCACATTATTATGGACTGGCACGGTTCAAATACAGATCAAGCTCCGGGTTGACTGTTCTAAAATATGCAGCGTGTTAACATCATATCCGGAAAATGTCCATAAATTTCAGCTAAATCTCAGGCTTTGTTATCCCGTGCGAATGAGTCACATAAAATGCAGACGTTGGGGAGTAATTTATTTATTACATGTGGTCCCTAGGTAAAACTAATCCCATGTGAATAGAGCTTTAGACTAAGAACGTTTTATGATGAGAAATGAGAATTGCAGCCATTTTGGTCAAACCTTTAAAAGAGCACGATGTTCAAATTCATGCAATATTGCAAGATCTTATTTTCAAAGTATGTACTGGGAATGACTCAATCATAGTGATCATTCACCTTTGCCTTTCAGCATGAGTGATAATAATAAAAATAAAAAAAACATGTGGATTGTACATTTAATGGTCTTAAACAACAAAAAATACATGTTCAGAATCAGTATGCTGTTTTAAAACTCCAGAGACACATCTAAGATTAAAACATTTTGAGGTTTTTAAAGTTATTAGTGAAGAACTTGACGACCTCCATCATTAGCTGCTTCTCACAAGAACACAGTCCAACAAACCTACAGCGTCTCTGAAATAGCCAACTCTGATCTAAAGTTTCTGATGACCAAACGTCCATGATAAAATGGCATCAGAGTTCAAGTTTAAAGTTTACCAATTATACTTTGTACCTGTACTGTTGTTTCTTTTCTCTCCATAAAACTGAATAAAGCCAAGGAACTGAGGCAACATTTCTGTGTACTGGCTGCTTTAGAGCCTTTCAAAATTTAATGGCAATATATTTCCTTGACAGATACCTTGGCAGGAGTCATGATTAAACTTGGCCAGTCTTTCTGCAAGGATACTTTTTTTTTCAAAGAACTCAGTGAAATTAGCCTTCTGCCCACTGGACACATGCTGGCAGAATTATTAAAACAAGAGCTCTTACTGTTTCACCTCGCCGGATTGGAAAAAAGAGATTGAACCGCACATTTTTTAGTTAATGTGAGACGTCGTGTTGAGTCACAGTCATTGTCTGGCTGTGACCCATGGAGGGAATCATATTTTCATTTCTATCATTTTACAGTTCGAGCAGTTCTTACCTGGAGTGGACGTCATCTTGGCCACTGGGGACATGCAAAGAAAAGGAGTCAGATAATCTGAAACAAACCCTGCAAACCAACAGTCTGTGTAATAAATAAGCCAATAAGAGATAAATGTGTAACAAATCATTGATAACAGTTTATTTTTTTATTTTTCTGAAAGAAGCAAAACTAAATTGGTGCAAATATCTTGTTGTTCAACTGTGTTATGACTAAAAATGCAACTTTTTTTCCCCAAATATTGTTAAAATAGGCAGGTCAATACAGATAGGGCAAACATAATGGGCTTATTTATCTAAAACTAACTTATGTTCAAATTGAGTGTTTACTAGAAAAAATTAGTTGGTTGTTCCCAGTCCAAATATCTGTTCATACTCACTGGTTTTCTCGATCACAGAGACCGTGTCGCTCTCAGACTTGTCTGTGAATATGGCTGTCAGCATGACCTCATATTCAGTAGATGGACTGAGACCTGACAGGATGTATTTGTTTTCACTTCCGCTCAAAACCACCTGCAGTAAAAAGAAGAAGAAACATTTAAATGTCATTTTACACTTCATCTCCACCAGTAAGTTCTCACTACCAGCCTGCTTAGGCCATATCTAAAATTCAATTCAGTTTATTTACTGTATATATGTCAAGTTACAACAGAAATCATCTCAGGGCACTGAACAGAAACATTCAAATATGAAAATAATAATTTAACATTATTTATCTGAGGAGCAGACTGCTTTGAATTTAACTTCATCACAGAATTCTCATCTTGAACAAGCATGAAGGCGACAGTGGAAAGGAAAAACTCCCTCATGAGGAAGAAACCTTTAGCAGAACCAGACTCAGGACAAGTGGCCGTCTGCTTCAACTGGCTGGGTTTGAGAAGAACAGATACACAATGGCAGGTCGAGAATCACATGTTAAAAAAGAAATAATATCAAATGAAAACTATTCAATTTTAACAATTAATTTAAGGAAATGAGGTCAGTTTGTCCTCTGGTAGTCTAAGCTTGCAGCAGCATGACAAGTCAATCCTAATTACAGGATTTATCAAAACGGAAAGTCTTAAACACAGTTTGAAACTGGAAAATGTGTCATCCTCATTGACAGAAACTGGAAGTTGGTTCCACAAGAGAGGAGCCTGATAACTGGAAGATCTTCCTCCCATTCTGCTCTAGGAACCGCTAGTATGCCTGCAGTCTTAGATCGAAGTGCTCTGTTAGGAAAATATGGACCAATAAGATCTGTAATATAAGATGGAGCTAGGCTGTTGACAGCTTTGTAGATTAGAAGAAATGTTTTGTGTGAATATGCGATACCTTATCAATTCAGCATTATGTTCACTGAGAAACTGCATTTTGAGAGCAACAAAATCTGTATATTTTGAAGATGGGTTCCAGAGTTAAAAAAAAAAAATCTTGAAATGTTGCATTTTCTTGCAGTCAGGCAAAGCATAACTTTTTGAAAAACAATCATGTCATAACCCCACAGATAATTTAATTTCCAACCCAAGGGCATCCCTTTTTTTAACTTTTTGTTCCTAATGCATGCTTATGTTTTATGCAAATGATTTACACCTCCATTCCTATTTTGATGTGTTTTGGGGCAGATTACAGCGCCAAATTCAGGCCGGCCCAATTACTACAGTTTTTTGTTTGTTTGTTTGTTTGCGTTTCTGTGTGGATCAAGTCTTTTAATGAAATCCTGTATGTATGAGAATATTTTTAGAAACAGATAAAACTTAATGTTTTGGGGAATCTGATTTTTAATGTGGACAAGTCTTTAGAGAGAGAGATTAGTGATCAAAAATGTACGTTTATTTCATGTTTTTGTTAAAAGACTAGTTTTAAACTGATCATAAAACAAGATTTGGGCTTTTCATAGACATTTTGTCTTTCTTATTTCAACTAATAGTTAAACAAAACAAGCAAACAAAAACCAAGCACAGATACAATAAATGATCAAAGATTTTTACTTAATGTGAAATCATGACGAGCTCAGGCAAGATTAGACAGACAGACAGACAGACAGACAGACAGACAGACAGACAGACAGACAGACAGACAGACAGACAGACAGACAGACAGATATTTTTTTTAATGCTAAAGGACATTTGGACCGCATCTAATTTGATAATGCCATGGTTTTGTTTGTTTTTTTAAAGAGAAATAAATATTGTAACTGGTGTGGGCATTAAATAAACAAGTATGATTACTTCTACAGAAATAAAACTCCAAATTTATAAATGTGATTTGATGCATCAATGGTTAGAATAACACAAAGTAAATTATATTAAAAAAAAATACAACTAAATAAACTTCCACCTCAACAAACCACATTTAAATCTAAACCCATAGGTGAAATATGTTCAAGATTATTAATGTATTTATTGATTTCTCTCATAGGGTTTTAAGGCACATCTATCTGCTTGTTTCTAAAGTCCTTTTCCTCCAGAACTCAAAACTGATGATCAAACTTTTGACCTTTTTTTAAATTTCATCATTTTAACGAGATGCTCACATTTTAAAGCATCATTTTTTTGACAGCCGTTACTCATTTTAATGATGCAAAAGAAGCCTACAGTCTAAACACTTGAAGACCAAACTAAACATTCGTGTGTGTAAATAAGTTCATTGTAAGTGGATGAGAAGTGAAATAAGACATGAAGCACCCTCAGTATTCCAAGTCTCTCTTAATAATTCCCTTGAGAAACATTTTCAGCTGATGACACTCAGCAACATTCACACACACAAACACACACTTGGGCCTCTATCGCTGCTTCCCAGCTGTCTCTAAACCCCAGATTACAGCCATAAAACACCCAAGCCATTAATTTCTATATTTATTCAGCCAGTATTTATATTCTGCCCTGCCAGATGTTTTACAAGCTACCTGTAATGATGCAGAGCTTCTGTGTGAGTCTGTTTTAGTGTAGTCCTCTCTGTTTGTCAGACAGAGTTCAGCATGTAAATGTTTGGAAACAAGACAAAAGTGCACTTCTTGCTTGATGACAAGCCACTTGTTATTTTTTTGTGTGTTCTTATTAACATATAATTAGTTGTACAATTAATTTATTAAACATGTTAGTGGTGTGCTCAGCGCTGTTTACAGCCCTCTTATTAAACATTTCATCTAATTTAAATCTACACCTTGCCTGCCACAGTTTTGAACATGCATGATCTGCTAATGTATCTGTATATAAGTTCAAGTTGTGAAGGACTCTTAGCTACAACCACAACAAATTGCTAATTAAAATGTGTAAAATTGACCAAGTTATCACCATTTTTGTGTTTGCAGGTTGATTAGCTGTGGTGGCCGTCATGAATTAAATTAACTCGAAAAGGTAATCAGCTGTAGATGCACATCCAACAATTATTTTCTGAGAGGTTCAAAAAGAATTGTCCTGTGGTTCATGAAATATATTTTTGCAAACAGACAGGATTAACTCCATCAGGCAGTCCTAAAGTTTTAAACAAAGATCTTGAGCGATCTTTCAGGGCTTGAAGCGCATGCGTGCGACGTAACTCAGCTACTACAACAACACGTCTCGGTTCAATATTTGCACAATTGATTGAGTTCTAACCATCTTTGCTTTGGCTTATGTTGCTTAACTGTGAATGCCACCCTAAATTGAATAAGTATTAAAATTAATCAGTTGTAGATATGCATCCAATGATGAATTTTTGACAGCTATATTAAAATCTGTGCAGTAGTATTTTGCTACAAAACAAACACAAGCACATCATTATTGTCTTCCTTGCATGGCAGTGTGTGATATTGTCAGTTTGGTTCAGGAGAATATACAACGGATTAAGAAAACAGTGATTCTATAGGATGGTTTGCTTTAAAGCGTCTAAAAATCACCCGTTAGAGTTCAGATTTACTGACCTGCTTGGTGTTGCCACCGGCAAATGGAGCCCAGGAGAGTCTGTAGAGAACAACGTCCTCAGCTGAATGATCCCAACTGACCTTAAATCTGTCTGTGCCAACATCACTGGAGCGCAGATTTAATGGACCAGGTACTGGAGCTGAAAGACAGTTCATATTTACATCTTCTCACTGCAGGTCCTGTAAAGTTTTTCTGATTGTGCTGTAAGTTATGGAGATGCTCTATGAAGCTGCGTGTATGCCACACCAATTAATTGCAACGATTTAAAATGTTAGTTTAGCATAAATCTTACAAGCACACTTTCACACACCCTTGCTGTGAACTCGAATCTTGCAGACTCACGTCATTACATTAAAAGGATTTAAAGTGCTCGCATATTTACTTTAGTTCATAGAGTTTCTTCTCATAAACCTGGTCCATTAAACAAAGTTAGCCAGGAGATAAAAAAAAATCAAAATGATCCTAGAGTAAAAAATGTAATAGTCGTCACCACACAAAGAAGTGGCTGATGCAGCACAAGAGGCTAAATGGTTGTAGCCTAAATAAACTTTTCTACAAATCAATATCTGTTAGTGTGATGAAATATTCAGGGACAGAAGAATGACCTTTTTATTGTTATTGGGCAATTATGCTGAAGTGTAAATGAGATGGGCAGACTGCCAGAATGGCAGAAGGATCAAAATGGGGTAAAAAAAATCAACAGTTTCCTAATACAAGAGAACTGCTTGGCTTTCCACTGATATTGATATTCATCTTAAGTAAATTGAGAAAAAAAAAAAACAAGATTAAAGACTGGTTAAAAAAATTAAGTATATAGCAGAAGAAAAAAAATGAACAAAAAAAATGCAATAAAACATGGATGTATCTGGGTCAAACTGTAAATTAGTGGTTCTGAATAAACAACTCTGTCAGTTTGAAATTGACAAATTAGTTGTTAGCCAATAAACTGGACTGATAGTTGAGCGCCTTATTTTATGGTACACATGATATACATGGCTACTCTACATTGTAATGAAACTGTGAGCCAAGATTATTATAAAATAAATAACAAATAACCTTAAGTTTGCTGAAAACAAAAACATGAAAAAGGACAGAGGTGTATAAACACACCAACAGCAGTAGCAGAAATGCAGTGCATTCCTTTTATGGGGTTGGTGACAAACATGCTGATATACAT